GATGTTTTCTCTGCTTGATGCATGCCAATGATTTGACCCTTCTCAAACAGACTAACATCTTTTCCACGACCACGGGATGTGTCTTTCGACATGGTTGTTTAGGAAATGAGAAGCAACTCATTGCACCAGTTGGGGTTAAATAACTTGTTGCCAGCTGAAAGATAATCGCCCATGCAGTAATTATCCAATAGGAGGCTCGTACCTATTTGCTTAGTTAAATCCGGGTGGCGACTTTTTTTTTGGCCAGGCAGTGTAATACAACAGCCCTTCCCCCCAAACGCCTGTTGTTGCCAATTTTTATCCTTCCTTTAAATATTTCTGAGGCACGTCTTCATATACAGAATAGCGACATCCATGGAGTCAGGTTTTACCTTTTTTTTAAGGGCTGAACTAAAACACATTGAGAGCTGATGTTGTTTGGGTGTTACGAAAATGAGACAAAAAGGGTCCCCAGGTCTTTTAAAAAAAATTCTCTGAACCACTGGCATCTCTAATTTTAAGCAGGACATTACGTCTTGAAGCCACTGGCCAGATGTGGGTGGGGCAGACTCCTTCCATTCGAGCAAGATGGCGTGCCTGGCCAAGAGTAGAGCAAAAGTCACTGTACGGCTCTGCTGGTGTCAGGTTGGGATCGTCTCCACTAGCAATGCCAAATAAGACAATAAAAGGGTCTAGTTCTACTATTTTTTTTAAGGATTTTAGGTATGAAAGATGTCTTTCCAAAATGTTTCCAAGTGAGGGCACAGCCAGTACATATGGATCAGGGTGGCATCATTGTTTTTGTATTTGTCACAGGTGGGAATTGTATCAGGGCAGATGCTAGACAGCTTAACCTTGTGGGCCCCATGGACCACCTTAAATTGCTATAAGCAATGTGTTGCACAAAGTGAGGATTTATGTATTGTTGAAAGTATAGAGACCCATTGGTCCTCAAATATAGGTCCCAGATCTTGTTCCCAGGCTACCATAATCCTGTCTAGAGGTGAACATGATTGGCATTCTGTAATTTAGAAAGTGCACCTCTAGACAGTGAATTTAAGGAACGAAACATGTGACTTGCATTGGTAACAGGTTCTACAAGAAAACAAGGTATGTTTGAACGGTGCGGATAGATCAAAAGAGACAAAGCAGCCATCTTTGAACATGTCTTTGAACCAACTGATGCCTTTCCTGTGCCAAATCAAAAAAGCTGAGTCAGACCAAGATTGGGAAAAGAGATGATTGGAAGCAACCGGGCTCCGAAGGAAGAAGTCTCTGTGGCCAAAGGACTTCTTAAACTGGGCCCAAACTTTAAGGGTATGACGCACAACTTGGTTGTCTAGTTGAGTAGGGCTCAAATTGGAGCTCCATAGATGTCACATCTGGGCTATCAGGCTGAAGATGAAAGTGGGTCCAGAAAGCGAGGTAACAAATATTGGAAGCCAGTAATAATGACGGAGGTTAGGGAGCCCAATGCCTCTGTCCTTTTTAAATCTCTGGAGCTAAATCTTGCTTACTCATTACTTATCCTGACATATGTATGATGAAAAAAAATTGAATCTCATGACACAAAACACAATTTTGGGATGATCCCACAAAAGTTTTAGAAGTAGGCCCCAGTTAAATTTCCGCATACCCTGTTGGGTTTTGGTATGTGCTCACAAATGCATGCCGTCATCATGTGATTCACCTTGACTGAGTTTACTTAACATGTCTCTTTGTGTTTTAAATTTCAGGATGTCAATCACAGCATGGGCCAGGTAAGCACCCAAGAGCAGCATTACAAGTTTTGTTTCTGCCCGTCAGCTATGTACGACTTCTTGCCTATACTCCATGTTTAACTCCCCTCTCTTCTCTTCTGTCAGTTTGTGGCCGAGCTGTAAGAAACTCCAGAATTGTGGGAGGTGAAAATGCATCTCCGGGAAGCTGGCCCTGGCAAGTCAGTTTAATCTCGAAAGGCACTAACTACTGTTCAGGGTCCCTGATTAACAACCAGTGGGTGTTGACGGCTGCTCACTGCTTGACAGTGTAAGGGATCACTGTTGCAAATTCTTTTATACATTTTATGAATTTGGTTTGTTAGCTTTTATCAGAGATAGGCAATACACAACATGAGTCTAGAAACATTTTTAAGCATTGCTTCACATAGGGACATGACTTTACATACATACATCAGGGACAGAATGTCCAGCACATTGCCTTTTGTCACCTGTCAACATGGCTGGAGCTAAGAATTATGGGTCTACATTCCACCTGCGACAAATAACAGCCTACATGTATCCACAGCTCAAACACACCACTAACATTTACAGTGGAAAAAGCACAAAAGAAGATCAAAATTAATATTGATTCACTTTGGATAGTTTCAAAACTGCCTAAAAGGTCAGGTGTGTATTTAGTGGCATCTAGTGGTGACGAAGCAGAACTACAAACTTCTCCCATGTGCCAAGCATGTAGGAGAACTACGGTGGCTGACGTGAAAACATGAAAACGCAAATGGCCCTATCTAGAGTCAGTCAGCACGTTTACATGTAGAGTTAAGTCGAGCTAGCTCGACAAGGCCATTTGATTGGACAACTGTCCTTACAAGCACAGGAATGGAATCAATTTATTGACCAAAGAATGTCCGACTCCACCATGATAGGTGGCGATATGCCCCCTTTCAGCTTGTTAGTATGGGACCTTTTTTTGGTTAACCTATTTTATCACAGACCAAACAACTGACAAACAAGTTAGCTATGGTTAGCTAGCAGCAAACTGTTACCATGGTGGACAACCTTACAGTCCGTCCAAAATGCTCTGGATGTAGATTTCGCCACGTTGTGACCAGCTTCTTCTTCTGTTATGCATTTAATGCTTTCGACATCCTGATCAATGCCCGGGGCGGACACCGTGAAACATGCGCTGAGTGCCTTGGCCAGTTCGAGTCCGATTGACTGTATACATGCAGGAGTAATTCAACTCCCAGTTGCATTATCTGGGTGTGTTAGTTGATTTGAGAAATTTGATTTAGTATGATTTGAGTCGAACTAGCATGTTTGCATGTATTTTAGAAGTCCGGTTTTAGTCGGACTAATAAAATGAATCGATTTTCTCTGATGTCATGTAAACATACGGAGTGTTTGGTTTGTCCATTCTGGGCTACTGTAGAACAACATGGCACACTCTGCAAGGACCCATTCCATATATAGATGTAGGCTCATTCTAAGGTAACAAAAACCCAATGATTCTTATTTTCATATTCTTACTATAAACTAATGAAAACATAGTTATGAATACTTTATACCACTTCTGCCAATAGATGCCCCTAAATCCTACACACTGAACCTTTAACCAAACAAAATCAAATGATGAGGCAAAACTTGAATTTATTTGCTAAGAAGGGGATACACTAGCAAGTAATTAACCCTATGGGCCCTAGGCGTTTTTGGGGTATTTTTACTGCCTTTACTTTTAAGCTCGTATCACAGTCATTATAAAGGCTACATACACATGCTATATCTTGTTTTTTTCAGGACAATCTGGGCTAACCAGATTTGCCATCATTTCATGTCCTACTATGTGCCTGTATTTTATATTAATTTTTATATCAATGAAAAAAACAAATCTGTGTTACTAAATTCTCACATTTTTACATGTATCTCACCATAGCAAGTTGGAAAATGACATATTCTGCTATATATGAAGAGGGGAGACTCTCTGGAATCTGGCAATATAAGAACCATGATGGTGGGACATTCTGTCACTTCACAGCTGTCCAAAACATGTGGTTTGTTCCAGGCGGACATGATTGCCAGTATTTTTTCATTATTGCAAGAAATTCCATTGACTCATTCACAAGTCAAAAATGTGTTTTATCTGAAAGAAACATGCAATATTTACATCTAAGATCACAGAAAATAGTCAACCAAGTGCAATGATGTCCTCCAAGATAATATTTGCCACTTTCTTTGCAGTAAACAAAGTTTGTTGTTGTTTTTCAGTTTCAGTTATATATTGGAGGGGCATTTTGGGCATTAAGGGGGGACACATGTCCCCCTCAATGTATATGGTGACTACAGCCCTGTCATGCATGCATAATTAGGCTACAGTTGTCTGGGTGCGCAAAGGTGAAGTGGCTGGTCTTGTCATATAAAGTTTGATGGAGTGTCAACTGGACAATATAGAGATGTTTGCATCTTGAAAGCCGGACTACAAATGTCGATAGACAGGCAGAAACATACGCAAGCCTAAGACGTGGTAAGATACGATATTCCTCACTATATGAAGTGACTGATAACAAGATCTGTATAATGGATTGTAAAGAAATTCGTCAGGTTTTTATTTTGTAGACAATTAATCTGGATTTATAGCATGATGGGATGACAGCACAATGATGTGTGGTATCACTGGAAAGCTCTAGTCCTGAGCTTTCATGTGATATGCGTGGCATTTCTGTGCGAGCCTGCATTCACGAGTAATCCATCCAAGAGTAATGTGTGTGCAGAGCTGTATGAAAGCTCTGTTATACATAATTTTAGTGTAACTTTATCATTTTTTTCCGCTGTGAAAACACCGGACTACTGACAAGTGCTTGGTCTTGTCAGAAAGCTACAATTCCGCTGTTTCACGTGATATGCGTGGCTTCTCGCTATGACACACAGTCGCGGAGAAAAACTATAGAGAAGAATAGGTGTGAATTTGGATGCACTATGCGTCGTTCAGGCCCATAGGGTTAAAAAATTTACAAAATTTAAAGTGTCACTTTAAAAAGCCCTCCAGAGTCTTTGGACCCTTGGTACACTGTGATAAATTTAGTTATGTTATAAATTTAATTATGTGATTTCTCCATCAATTCAAACTTAGTATTATTAGACCTTTCCTTAAGCAGTGCTCATTGATGCGAAGTATCTACCTGCCACAGCTGGAGGTGGTCTGGTTTGCATTGTGATATGATCTCAGCACAAACACTCCCCCACTTATAAAACTGAACAGGCATTCTGGATGCTGAATAGTAAAAATTTTACTATTTTTCTTCTTTGTCCTGAAGACATGACCTTCCAACGACAGAAGTGTTCCTGGGCCGCCACAGCCAGTCAGGTCCAAACTTGAATGAAGTGTCACGGCGACTTGACAGGATCCAGTGCCATCCATCATACAGATTTCTGACCCATGACAACGACATATGTCTTCTGAGGCTGTCGGCGCCAGTGAATTTTACGGACTACATACAACCGGTCTGCTTGGCCTCCGCAGAGAGCACTTTCCACACCGGGGTTAGCAGCTGGGTCACTGGTTTTGGTTCTACTCAGGCTAGTAAGCTCACACACTGAACACTTTTATCACATAATGATGCATACACATGTAGTGTCTATTGTATTATTTATTCAATTGTTCCTTTGAAATATCTCCCATTAGATTCATTTACCCAAGCTGACATCCTACAGGAGGTGAATTTACCAGTGGTGGGAAACAATGAGTGCCAATGCACCCATCGCCACCTCACAGACAACATGATCTGTGCTGGGTTCACAACTGGAGGGAGGGATGCATGTCAGGTGACCACCACTGTTTGTGCATTTGATATGTAATGCCTTGACGACAGCCAGGGGTGAAATTAATTTTACAGCAAGGTGCAGAACAATATCCTGAGAATATGCACCTCCAGTTTCACTTTCAAGGCAGATAATTTACCTCTTAAGTACCTGAAACCAACGTGTATTAATTTCAGTCGCACTTGAGTCTTCAGATTACTGTTAGTTATGTTAGCATTAGCTTACCTTAGTTTTCATGGATTGTACCAGTTGCTTTGTTGTTGATTCTCTGTTGCACGAACTGTTAGCTAAAATTTCTGACTTCTTGTTTTTTAGGTTTTGATGTAGGCTGTTTTTGCTTGTTGCGAGTCTTATAAGCTAAACACATCAGAAAGTTATCCATGGACTGAAAACACAAAGATGACATCAGAAAGAAGTTCAACTCTTACATCAGACATATGTTAAAGTTTGGTTGCACTGAAAATTAGGCTGATTATATTTTAAGTGTCTAACAATGTTTAGAATTTCACAATGTCTAGACCCTACCATTATGACGTTTTGCAGATGGTGAGTTTTGTTCTCCATACCTCATGACTAAATGTCATTATTCTGGTTACTTAACAGCACAACTTAAAACCAACCAAATATCAATGTCCTCTGTTGTCAGTTCTCTACGTCAAATTGACGTTGGCATCAGACATTGTCTTTACATTGAATTTTGGTCACCTGATGTTACAACCTTAACTCAACCACGTATCAACGTCCAGCTACATAGGTGGCAAGCTGGGCATTTTATTGGTTTAAATAATGTTCTATAAAATTATCTAGTTGCCAAACATCATTACAGGATTCATGATGGAACTGAGACTAAAGGATACTCTATCCTATCCCTGCAACTATCTGTTTCTTTCCACAGGGAGACTCAGGGGGGCCACTGGTGACCAAAAACGATTCAGTGTGGATCCAGTTTGGAGTTGTGAGTTTTGGTGAGGGCTGCGGCGAGGCTATGACTCCTGGAGTTTACACACGTGTGTCCCGGTACCAGGACTGGATCACCAACATCACTGGCGGCAGCGAACTTGGCTTTGTTACCTACATCTCCTCAGGAGTGGACAGTGACTTAAACTTTAACTGTCCTACATCACCATCAGGCATTGGGACAACCGCATTCCCGTTTCACACATTCAACTTCACCACCACTTGCGAGGGCTGTGATAAGGGTGGTGGCAGCGTATTTGACAGTGGTGAAAATGTGATCCATTTCTCCCACCTCACTCACTTCACCTCACTCTGTCTTCTGGTTATTTCACTCTATGTGCTGGTTGGTGACGTGTAACATAAGAATGTGAAACTACAAACTATTTACAGTTTGAGGTTTCTGTGCCCAACAGTCTCAGTCACTGTGTTTGATATGAAGCTTCTTCTTTCGATGTGGAGAATATGAAAGGAAAAATGCAATACTGACATGCTGTTACTGTAAACAAAAGAAAATCCTTCTTAAATGAATATATATCGATTGAACGATTGTACGTTATTATGATTTGATGATAATCACAAATGGGATTGTTGGAGAATAACTTAACACTATGCTGAAACGCGGTGTCTCACTGCCCTCTGCCATGTAAAGTTTGAAGCCTTTTTCACCTGAGTGTGTTAGAAATGTGTCCTGTTGTACCTGTAACCACACCCATTGTGATGTCACAATTTTCTGGGGTACATCACTGCAAGTCAGCAAAAAAAAAGATTTTCGAGATTTCAAGTTGCATTATCAGAGATTAATATCTTTATGCCATTAAAAGTAAAGACATTTTTATAAACTTGCAGATTGTGGGACTGATGTAAAGTACGGAAAAAGTAGTTTGTAAAATTTTGCACTGTCTTTTAAAGAAATTATTTTAGACATGTTTTGTAAGAAAACAGAAAATACACTTTTTTGTTTCTGTAAAAAAATAAAAAATAAAAAATGACCTCCTGGGTGCAGAACCCAAGGAAGAAATAATTTCCTATTTACACATTTAGCAGAGATTGAGACACATTAGCATTCATTCAACTGTTCCTGGACACCTGATGAATGCAAGTAGTCCAATGTTCACTTTCCTTTTAGCTCTGTTTTGGTTGACCAACTCTCGAGGGAAACATTTGGCTCTTAATTTGGTAAATGTTCACAGGAGATTCAAAAAAAGCTGATGATGATGATACATGAAACAGAGGTACTACGAAGCAGGACGCAAGTCCACAAAGCTGCTGGCCTATAGATTAAAAAAGCAAACGGCAATTAATAAGACGCCTGAGAGATCGTCTAGCTGAGCATAAATATGCCATTAGAATTAAAAATCATGACTACCCCATGGCTAGGCATTTTAGTGAATATCACAATGCAAATGACTCCTTACTGCGCATTGAGGGCATTGAGCACATTAAACCTATGGTTAGGGACGGTGACAGAATACAGAGACTTAACCAAAGGGAAGCTTTTTGGATTCATCAATTGGATGCATTAAAATATCCTGGTCTTAATGAAGATATAGACTTTACAAGTTTCCTTTAATGTTTCTGTTATGTTTAATATCTTCATTCATCATATCTTGAACATATGTTTAATACTGGTTCATGGGTATTTTATTAAGTCTGATTGATGTTTGGTTTGGTTATGTTTTGTGTGTTGTTCTTGTTTTCTCATTCTCTGTGATTTATTATCGTGGTTCATTGGCTTCACCTGTCATGTCATTAACTGTGTCATGTGATAGTTTCTTATTGGCTGCTGCTGCTATATAGATGAAACCACACCTTGGTGCATCTGTTTCTCCAGTCCTGATGAAGACCAACAGTGGTCGAAACATGTTGGCTTTTTAATGAGTTGGCCATTATAATAAAGGCTTTTTAATCTAATCTTTCCTTCCTCATTTTCATTTTTGTTTTGGAGTGCCTGGATTCTTGTCCTGTTTGCAGTATTTTGGATTTCCCTCCTTTTTTTTTCCAAGAGCACCTGATACATTTTTTGATCTACACTCTACAACACAGAGCAACCAGTTATCTGGTTTTCTACATAAATGTTTTGAAACATATTACAAGAATCTATATTCTCAACCAAAGATAAGTAATAAAAATCAGGTATTCCAATTGTTAAATTCATTAAATTTACCAAGAGTGACAGAGGACCAAAACTCAGCATTGATAAAGGAAATCACATCAGAAGAAATAAAGTCGCCGATTTCAAAGCTGAAGACAAACAAGGCTCCGGGCACAGATGGATACACCTCAGAGTTTTATAAAGTCCTCAGGGAACCATTGATCCCCCTATTAAAAAATGCATTTAACTGGGTGCTAAAAGAAGGAGAAATTCCAAACTCTTGGAGTGAAGCCAAGCATTTCAGTTATTCTGAAAGAAGGAAAGGACAAAATGGAGTGCTCTAATTACAGACCAGTTAGTGTTCTTAATCAAGACTACAGATTATTCACTGCTATCCTAGCCAGACGCTTAGATATAATTTTGCCAGATATAATACATCAGGACCAGACCGGATTTATAAAACAGAGACAGACACAGGACAGTATTCGGTGAACACTTCATGTGATGTAAAACATCGTCAAAAAATGATTAGAGGCAGTAATATTGGGACTGGATGCGGATAAAGCATTCGACTCTGTCAGGTGGGATTTCTTATAAATGGTGCTGGAGCGATTCAGTTTTCATGAAACATTTGTCAAGACCATACAATCTATACATAATAAACCCAAAGCCAGGATTAAAATTAATGGAAATCTCTCAAATTCTTTCACACTAGAACATGGGTGTCATCAAGGCTGTTCAATTAGCCCTCTCCTATTTGCTATTTATTTGGAACCTCTGAGTCAATGGATAAAACAAAATGAAAATATAAAAAGGTATAGACATTGAAGGAGATGAACAGAAAATAGCATTATTTGCAGATGATGTGTTAATATATTTAACACAACCCACTGCATCCCTTTCAGCACTCATGACAACACATTTAACTATGTACCGGACCGAATTGTTAGAGAAAGGTTCAGATCTAATTGGCTTTCAAAATCCATGAAATATTTAGGAGCAGACCTACCTCAAGACTTATCTCAGTTGAAATCTATAAATTATGATTCATTAATTTCAAGAATAAAATCAGATATGGTCAGGTGGAATTTAATCCCATTCACAAGTTTAGTTTCAAGAGTAGAGGCAGTTAAAATGAACGTTCTTCCGAGGCTGCTGTATCCAAACTTTGCCAGTAGAAGTAACAGACAAAGACTTTACAGATTGGGATAAATACATTTGGCAGGGGAAAAAAACACGCCTACGATTTTAGAACTCTACAGTTGCCCAGAGTTAAAGGGGGGCTAGCTCTGCCATGTCTTAGAGCTATCATCAGGCTGCACAACTAAAAACTTTGTGGAGCCTGTGCAATCCTTCCTACAGGACAAGATGGAAGGACATTGAGTGTCATACGTCAAATACTATTCCAATACAGGCCATGATAAATGGTGCAAAATTGAGGAAACATCTTAATGAAGAGTTAAATCCATGCCTGGGTGTATCCCTTAACATATGGTTTGAGATTATATCAAAGAATGCCTGACAGAGCAGAGTAGGGTACTGCGATGGACTGCACATGATTCAGATTTGACACCCAACACAATAGATAGGAGGTTCAGTAGATGGGGCGGGAGACCAACAATATTTTGGGAGCTCTTTAAAAAGACGGTTATGAAAAGTTTTCAACATTTAAAAAAATCAGTATGTTTTGTTCATGGTTCACATGTTTATTTTCATTGTTACCCTCCAACAGGGAAAAAAAGGACTTGGAAAGAAGGGAATGAAAATAAGGATTGGAGTGACAGAAGTACTCCATATTACTTCAGGTCTACTCGATTTTAACTTAAACTGTGTGATTATGCCTACTTACGTTTTCATTCCCCTGGATAGAGTATGGGTTTGTTCTGTATATCTGGAAAACATGTATACAAGATGTAAGATGTGGATGGGATGATGCTGTCTGGAATTAATTAAAAAAAAAGTTAATCACAAAAAAAAGTAAATGTTTTACTGTGTTCACCAGCTATTCGTTAAATTTGTCTGTCTGTCCTTTGATGTGAGGAAGGTCGTGTGCAGTTGGTTTATCAGACAGATGTGCCTGGAAACAGAGTTGATGAGAGCCATGAGAATGAACCAAAACAGTGACGCTGTGGACAAGACCAAAACAATGAGATGAAAGATGCGAGAATTCTCGCCAGAGCTGAGGGGAACAGCAGCTAGCCAAGTCATGTGACTCATGTTTTAACATAAGAAATATTGGTTAGTGATGTTTTAAATAAACATCTGAATTACCACCTACAGGTTGTATGCCTCTGAGAACCAGACAAGTTGCAGTTTACATCCATTTCTGTCCATGACAATTGACAATGCTTCAAACATGGATGTCGCTGCAAAGAAGCTACAAATTCTAAAATGTGAATGCTTCACACACATCTTCAACCAGGCGATACAGAAAATCTATACAATCAGCACAGTCTCAAGATGGGTATCGAAGATTAGTGTCATCAACTCAGTATCGGACTAAATGTCACCCCTTCTGTTCCTGAGTTGAGGCGCTAAATACTAGGGCTGTCAACGAATATTCTAAATTCAAATTTAAATTCAAATTTGAAAAAAAAGGACCTTCGAATGTGAAAATTGATATTCGATTGTGGAGAAAAAAAAAAAAAAACACCACCGCAGCTGTCCTCTTTGCGAGTGGGCGTTGGCATCAGACGCACATTTCTCCAACCTGGTTGACAAGCTGTTCTGCTCCCAGCTGTTGTCTCCGTCACCCGGCTTGACACATTCGCTCGCGCAGAAAATAGACCAGACGCCGAAACGATCGCTGCAGGGCGCAAGCCAGTCACGGTCCGGTGCTTTGAGGCTATTCGCAGCGCTTCCGCGGGCGGTGTGGCCACGGGTCAGAGAGGGGGGGCGACCGAGAGGTCCGTGGTCATTTATAACGTAATGTTATAGATAATTGTTTTATGTGTTTTAATGTGTAGGTATGTAAATGTTTTCAAAGACGTTTATGTTGAAATAAAAATACCTACAAGTAGTTATGTTTCCTTGTATTAATACATATACAAGTATGTTTCCTTGTATTAGTTTGGACATAATGCGGAAAAAAAAAATATTCGAATGGTTCGAACCTATGAGTTATTTTTAGAAGGAATATTCGAACGTCATTTTTGAGCAATTTTGACAGCCCTACTAAATACTGGCCAAAAAAAACTGTTTTTGTTTTTTTGTTTATGATGTCACAGTGAAGTTGACCTTTGACTTTTTGGATCTAAAATGTCATCACTTCATCATTTTATTCTATATGATATTTGTGTCATAATTTTTTTGTCATAATTAGTGTATGAATTCTTGAGCTATGGCCAAAAAATGTTTTGTGAGGTGACAGTGACCTTTAGCCACCGTCCAAATGGACGTTTGTGCCAAACTTTAAGAAACTCAAGGAAATGACATTCACGGAAATGAGACGGATGAGGTCACTGTGACTTTTTTTTTTTTTTTTTATAAAGATTATTTTTTGGGCTTTTGCCTTTAATGAACAGGACAGAGTGAAATGGGGTGAGAGAGAGAGCGGGGGGGGTGACCGCTGCAGCGAGGCATCACCTCTGTATATGGGGTGCCGGCACTATCCACTACGCTACCGATGCCCCAAGGTCACTGTGACTTTGACAAAAAAAAAAAATCTAATCAGGTCATCTTGCCTCGAAATGGATGTGGTGCCAAACTTTAAGAAATTCCCTCAAGGCGTTGTTGTGTTACGCAAATGGGACCACTAGACATATGGACAACCTGAAAACATAAGGTCTCCGGCCACAGTTGAATGCTTCATAGCTCACATTTATCCAAAACATGCAGAACTACACAAACAATTTGGCAAAACTTCTGTATAAAAACCTAAAAGTCTTTTGTACAAGGTGAAAATCCTCTCATAAGCTGGCTGTCTGAACCTGCAAACTGGGAGTTCTGGTTTGTTTTACCACTCCGTCATTTTCAATGGAGCTCCTCAGAGAGGATTACTCATGCTCTCACAAACACACAAACACACACTCATTCCTGTTAACCTGGCAGGGAAGTGCAACTCATCTCCCCTGGCCCCCAGGATCAATCGGGTGAAAAATTACATGCACTGATTCCAAGTGTGTTTGAGCGCTCATTAGGTGTGTGTTTATGTGTGTATGTGCATGTGGCTTTTGTGTATATGTACATCGCATTGTCCTTAAATGCCCTTCGAGGTTCACAAACCACCTCTAAAATGAAACCTAACTGGGCCAAATGTACCTTATTTTTCATTTCCTTACACTTTTTTTAGTGTTAATTTTCAAATATTCACACATGAATGCGACCACCATCCCCAGCAGGCCACGGCGGATCATTTGTGACAAACCTGCACTCCAATATGTTCTGGGTGGCTGATCGGAAAACTAACTAGCAAGCAGCCTGAGAGCAAAAGCCTCATTGTTATTCCGTGGCTGTGATGGCGTATTATTATTTTAGTCTCAGTGGCGTAAATTGTGTTTGTTGACTTTTCTCACAGAGAACACAAAGATGACAAAAAAACAAATCTGACTCAGGGGTGAGAAAAACCCTGCTGAAAATAAAGAATAGGAGCACTTCGTTTCTGCGTGTCACTCCCTTTTGCCTCTTTCTTGGTGAGAAATGTTATTCATTTTGATTATAGTGAAACTTGTTATTTTTTACAAGCCTTTTTCTATCAGTCCAGAGGCTTAGAAGAGAAACATTATTGAAAAAGTATCCCTGTTATCGAGCCCATTTTCATAACCTTTGAGTGTCCCTTTTCGATGCTGTCTTGCATAACAAGTCTCATTGTGTCTCTTTT